GACGAGGAGAACGAGGAGGTAATGGCATGGTCGGTCCTCTTAGAAGAGCACACACACTGCAGATACTTCAAGACCTGTGGGTGTCGAGTGCAGGCTGCGTTGTATTCTTGTCCTTACCAGGAAGAGCCTAGTATGTGGGGGAGGGGGGAGGCGATGTGCTGCTTCTAGAACTGATCTACCCCCACTTAAAAGTGACTTCCTGGCGGAAACGGGGGTCCACAGAGGTGCTCTTTTGCAGATCGAGGACCTGTCTGACGCAGCCTTCGCCGCTCTGCATGCCAAATGTGAGGAGATGGAAAGGGCTCGGTGGCTGTGGACCACAAGTGTGCCACCGCAGCGGCGGGGCAGCAGGTGATGTGGCAGGCGCAGGTCCCCAGGGCCTGCGGGGGGGTCGGCGGGGAGCGCGGGCCCAAGCTCTGTCCATGGGTTCTCACCTGCTTGCTCTTCGTGTTCCTCACTGGCAGTGGTGGAGAATGCGCACGCTCCTTGGTGTTTGTTGGGACCCGTGCGGGCATAAGTAGTCAAAAGCTGGGTCCTCGCCAAGTGGTTACTGTCCAGTTATGACAAACTCTGGTGGTCTCCCAGCTCCAGGAGTAGGCCGTCTGGGAAGTTGGAGGCCAATTGGGGGGTCTGGTGATGCAATGGGAGGAGCTTTGGAAGCCTCCGCACCAGCTCACCTTCGGTGGACAGTGGAGTGTGCCCAGCTCTGTGGCCCCCCTTGACTTGGGAGAACTGTCCCCCCCTTTCTCCTTTACTATTACAGTGAGCGGCCCTCAGGATTCTCAGGTAGAGGGGTTAGGGCTCCCGCTTTCTGCCCACAGCGTGTGCCTGGCCCCGTGCACAGTGACGGGGGAGGTGAGGGTTGGTGGTTCCAAGGAGACACCTGCTGGTGTCTGTCTGCCTCAGCTTTGCTGGTCGGAAAGCTTCTGTCACACATGCCACGCCATGCCACCTCCCAACCCCAAAAATGAATAGATGAGAAACTCCCTGTCACCGGGTACTTAGATTGCACTTCTCGGGGTACAGGTCTTACCGGTCATCAGATGGACGGACAACACCCCAACTGGGCTGTGCCAACCCCTCCACCCCCCAGCCCGCCTCCCCGGACGTCAGCAGCAGTCACTCCTTGTCGGAGTTCTCCCACGGGCAGTCCCCCAGGAGCCCGATTAGCCCGGAGCTGCACTCGGCCCCCCTCACTCCCGTGGCTCGGGACACCCTGCGACACCTGGCCAGCGAAGACACACGCTGTTCCACGCCAGAGCTGGGGCTGGACGAGCAGGTGAGCAGCAACACCTTTCTGTGGGATTGGAGGCGGCAGATGGGGCAGTTGGGGGGGCAGTACCTGCCCAAGATGGACCTTCATTTTATGGACCACCCCCCCCCCCATCCCGTTTGAAGGGGACAAGGGACTGTACATGAAGTTGACCTTCTGAAGGTGCCATGGAACACTGGCCCTTGTTACAAGTGTGCCCGCTCTGAGAATCGTCCCCAAGCCTGCCCCAGAGCTCACAGACCTGGGGCCAGTCCTCACCATGGCGTCTTGTCTGCCCACAGTCCGTCCAGCCGTGGGAGCGGCGGACCTTCCCCCTGGCGTACAGCCCCCAGGCAGAGAGTGAGGACCAATTGGATGCACAGGAACGGGCGTCCCGCTGCACTCGGCGCACCTCGGGCAGCAAGACTGGCCGGGAGACAGAGGTGGCGCCCACCTCGCCTCCTGTCGTTCCCCTCAAGAGTCGGCATCTGACCGCCACAGTCACAGCTCAGCGTCCAACTCACAGATGAGTGGGATACGAGAATCTAAACAGACTCACTAACTATTGGCATTAAAGCTTCAGAAATCTCTGCGTTTGATATTCAAACATCATATGCCGAAAATTTTCACAGTTTTTAGTGAATTTAAGGAATTTAGATTCTACTTTGGTATTTTTTTTTTCTTGTTTTGATTTTTGTTCTGTTTTGGTTTCCATGTTTTCTTGTCACACACCTGAGCACTTCCTCCAGTTGGCAAACAGAAGTTCAGGATAAGAGCCTGCCGGCCTGGTCCCGGCATCTCCTCTGCACTGTTGAATCACTGGACTTAGCCATGTCGGATGGTCACCCCTCTCCTTCGCCCCAGTGGGCAAGGTGGGACAGCCAGGTGGGCAGAGGGGAAGGACTCCGCAGCTCCGTGTCGCCCCCTGAGGTGAGGGTTGGGGAGAGCAGTGTGCTCTGGGCTCTTGCTGGCCCGCCCCTCCGTGGCTTGGCTCAGCTCTGGCCCCCCCAGCTGGGTCTCCTTGGTCGTCTGTGCTGGAGCACCCCAACCAGAGCCTCTTGACCGGCCTGCCAGCTGTTCCCACTCAGCCATCAGCTGACCGAACGGCTTCCTCTTGTCCTGCAGATCTTGGAGACCTCCCAGGGTTTCCTCTGTGTTCAGTCGTCCCTGTCTTGGCTCCTAAACTGCAGTAACCTGGCTGCGGCTGCTCGGGTCCCTGTCCTTCCCAGTCCCCTCATCTGCTGCCCCACCCCAGACACACACCCACACCTGGTCCTTCCCCTCGGAACGTTTCTCCCACTTATCCTGGTCTGTGGAGGTGTAGGGTTTTCCCACTCTTCTGACTCTAGGGAGTCTGGGAAATGAGCAGCCATCGCCCCTTTGGAATCCTGTTTTCACGGATGGGGTCATTCGGAATCATTTGGTCGCATCCCCTCCTCCGCCAGTCCAGTTCCCTGTTGGTGTCTGTCCACCCTTCCTCTCTCGAGCTCCTTTGCCTGTGGAACACTGTCTGGTCCTTGGTCCTTGCTGTGGGTCCCGTCACTCCCCGTCACCCCCTGGGTTAACCGTGTGCCTGTCTCATCTATGATCACATCACCAAAAGGGGGGCAATAAGGACTTTTTTTTTTTTTTTTTTTTTTGATTTTGTAATCGTATAAAAATAGTAGACAAACTGCTTAATGTTGGGGTTTTTTCACAATTTTCAACATTAGTGATTTTTTTTTTTTGATTCTGTTTGCAAGTTAAAGGGTTTGTCATTGTTTCTTTAAAAAAACAATAATGCACCATATCCCTATGCATAAAGTGCTTCTTCTATTTATAAGGTTGAAAATTCTGAATAACCCTTTTAGCATTGTAAAAAAAAAAAAAAACAAAATCAAAAATGGAAAAAAAAAACTTGTATTTTGTAAATATTTTCTTTTCCTGCTTTGAGCTGTGTATTGGCAGCGAAACATGTAGCTGTCTTTGTTCTATAGAAATGCTTTTCTTCAGAGAAGCTGATCTTTGTTAATGTCTTGATTCTGTTCGCAAAGCACAGACTAGTGCTTAAAAAAAAAAAAGGAAGGAAAAATTGAAAAAAATAATAAAAAAAAAGTTACAGAACGTAGTATGCCAGGCCTTTCTTGTCACTGGACGTGGTAATGGTGGTAAGGACCTGCCCTGCTGGGGAGTTCCTCTGACTGGCACTGAACATTGGGAAGACTCCGTGCCATCTTCTGGGCAGAGGTGAGCTCCTCTGACGGTCACCAGAGAGGGGATGTGGGTTCTCATAGGTGTGGCGGGTAAGAGATGTCAGGAGGAAAGGTGGTGGTGGTTGGATATAAGTAATTGACCCATTGCTTTTTTTTTTTAAGTTCATTTGCCTTTTGTTGTTGTTGTTGTGCTGGGTCTTCGTTTCTATACTTTGGCTTTAATATGCCTACCTCTGGTGAGGCCAGCCAGCAGTGTTGGTTTTTTTTTTTAATCTACTCTAAATTGCTCTCTAGGGTTCCCAGGTGGCTCAGTGACAAAGAATCCACCTGCCAATGCAGGAGACATGGGTTCATTCTTGATCCGGGAAGATCCCACATGCCGAGTGGCAACTAAGCCTGTGCACCACGACTGCTGAAGCCGGGGCAGCACCCTGAGCCAGTGCTCCCTGCAACAGGCTCCACCGCAGGGAGCCCACGCGCAGCGACGAAGACCCAGCACGGCCAAGAAGGATAGACTATAAAGAAAATAAATTGCTCTCTAGTGGAGATGTCACATCTCACTTTTGACCTCCTCTGGGTTTGAGATCACTGAGGATTTAATATACTTTGCACAGAGCCTGAGCTGCTTCTCAGCAGCTTTCTTGTGAGGAAAGAAGAAAAGTTTTGAGTTTCTTTGTAGAAGATGAGTAAGTGGGTGGGCCTGGTTCCTTTTTCCCTTTTCACAGCAGTCAGGTTGACACAGCCAGTGAAGCTGCCTGAGTGTTTTTTTATATATATGTGTGTATATATATATATATATATTTTTTTTTTTCTTTTTTGGTCTTTTTTTTACCCAAGTTCTGAGGTCTTTGGCTGCCCTGTTGCTGCTTCTGTAGTTCGCAGTTAAGATCTGCTGTACTTAAGCTTCTGTCTGCAATGGCTAAAGCATCTCAGGAAAAGCTGAGAAAAGTGATTATTTTGAAACTGTGGAAAAATCAAAGGCCTGAACTTGACATAAGCACTAAGGAACAATAATACGATGGGTTCTGCGTGTCTGCTTTTCTTTTCCTCTGTCCTCACCAGGGGCTATTTGGGATCCCTAATAGAGATCTAGCACGCTCCATCTGAGATGAGGCTCAGAGGAGAGCAGCTTTGATCCTGGAAGGAACCAGAGCCCCTCATTCCACTGACCAGCCCAGTCAGTGTCCTGCTTCATCCCCAGGCCTCTCCACTCATTTCCAGGGATCAAGAGATCTCACGGAGCTAACCCTGCCTGCTCAGGTCTGAATACAGTGGTTTGGGTCTTCTACAGGCTGAGCCTTGTGAGCTTAGCCACAAGGGTATTTATTGCCCTTTGAGTTGGACCAGGATGGTTTGCCAGCACCAGTTTGAGAAAATCGAAACAAACAAGCTTGAGAGTCCTTTCACCTTCAGGGCCACAGAGCCAGCTGGTAAATCCTCACATCCTGGTTTCAACAGTATTGTCATTTCCTGAGCTAAGTTCCCAAAGGCTGAGAAGGGACTTAGAAATTGTAACATCGTTTTCTGGTCCTTTAAATCCATACACAAAGGCCTTATTTAATCAGAGTAATAACTTTATTTTCCAAATTCACTTTTACAGCAACAGTCAGTGTAAATCATTTGTTAAAACACACAATACACGATATGGACATTCACAGACAGGAAGCTAAGCTAAGATGGTTTCATGTCCCTCCCCCCACCCTCAAAATTAACAAAGAAATCATGGGACCTGTAAGTGCCAGAAATTGTCCTGCCCCACACTGCAGATTCACGGGGCTCGGTCCAGTAGGAGTGAGACTGTCGGTGCCCAGGGTAAACCCTTTTCAAAACAGAAACCAGAAGGCTCTTGAAGCCGCACTTCTGTAGAGAGGACAGGCGGATGACCTCCACCTCTGCCCTCGTCCCTGCCTCTCTCTGCTCTCCTCCGAGGACAGAGATCAAAGGGTGACAAGATCTTAGCAGCTGTTAGAAGTACAGGCTGTGTGTCGAGCTGGTGGGAAAGGTGACACGGAGGTGCCAATAACTTTGAGGAAAGGATGCCTCAAAGCAGCTTTGGGAGGCAGGGTTGTGGGCTTGGGACCCTGCAAAAGGGCAGCAGGACAGCAACCGGATCTCGATTCCTCCACAAACCTCACCACCTGGCTGGGAAGGAGAACTAGCTGGCAGCCTGCCGCACCTGTCAGTGGAAAGGCGAAATCCCAAGGGACTTCTGGCACCGTGGTTGAAATCACGAAGAGAGAGTTACTAGGCTTCGGACTACTGTACCCCTTTGCCCAGTGGTTAACTATCTTACAGGTTCCTCCCCCCTCCCCCCTCGAACACAACAAGCAATCGCAGACAGGATACGGTCTCACCGCTGAAGTCAATTTAAATGGAACTATTGATAAAGTGAGTGGAGAGCTTGAGGGGACCAGGTGGATGAGGGACACCGACTCCGGAGGAAACGGGAGTAGGGGTGTGCCAGCTCTGGGGGGATTGTCCTCATTTAAGGTTACAAGCCAGCATCCCTTTGCAGACTCCCTGCCAGCAACTGACCTGATCACCTAAACCACGATAGCAACTGACCTGGTCACCTAAACCATGATTGCAACTGACCTGGTCACCTAAACCATGATCTTCAGGCTGATCCCAACACAGGCAATTCCAGAGCCCTCTGGGAAGGAAGTACTTGGAAAGCCGGACACGAGACGGCAAGGAGGGGTGCAAGGAACGCGGCCAAAATTGGTGGCAGTAAGGAGGGGCCACATCGCTCACATCTTTACACCGTTTCCTCCTCTTTCCTCAGAACCCTTCCAAGACCAGCTGGGACTCGGAGAGCCGAGGAGAGCCTCGTGGGGGGACGTTTGGGGCCCACATGATCCCTGGCATGGAACGCTCTGACTGCAAACGGAGCAGCCGACCCCGGACTCTGACCCTCCCAGCCCCACAGGGTTGCCTTTGACTGTCCCCACACCAGAAATGGCAGACCTGGACCAAGGTTGAGATTTCCTTTAAACAGATTTTGACAAAGGCTGCTTCCCTTGTCCCCGTGGCAGGAGAGGGTCAGCAAGTGTCTCCTGACTTGTCACCACGTCAGAAAGCTGGGTCCGGTCGTTCGTCCCAGGCCCTCCTGTGGCCGTAGGGCCCTGAGTGGGCGGCTGGACCGTCCTTCCTGAGGGAGAGCTTGGAGCTGAGGGGTGGGCTGCAGGCCCTGCCCCAGTGGGCACTGATGATGCGGGGAGCTGTCTGACCCTCTCTGGGGGCTGCTATGGGCCTTCTCCGGGGCTATCTTCACCGCAGGACACATGCCCTCTGCCTGACAGAAGGGAGCCCCGGGTCAGGGAGGGGGTACCGGAGCTGCTGTCCTCTCCTGGGCTTCAGGTGTTCACAGCCGAGGGTTCTCCAGTGTCAGGATCTGGTCTCTGCTGGTTCCCTGATGCTGACGGAAATCTTTCATCAACTGGGAGAGCCACGTGGGCCTTCTGGATCTGAGTCCCGCTGGGGGGTGAGAGACACCTAGGACTCCCACGAGGGCGGGTTAGAAACCTCTTTACATTTCAAGATACATGCGTCCTTTTTTTTTTTTTTTTCCACTATCAGAGTCACTCTGGTGAATCCAAGCATAAACAGACAAATCAGACTACAAGGCGACAGGGTGTGGACGGGGAGGGGAGGGCGACATCTATGTATATGTTCAGCTGCTCCAGGACAGACCACCCTGCTTCCGAGGGGGCACGTTTCCCTTTTTGGGTGATGACACAGACTTGGGGTCGAACAGCGGCTGGGCTCCGAGAGGCTGGCAGTCACAAGCTGGGGCAGAAGTGGGGGACAGCAGGGGCGTGGTCCTGCCCTGGGGGCCTTGCCTGCCTGCCCCAGTGCCATCGCTGGCATCCGGGATGGCCAGCCTGCTGCCAGCTCGGCACTGGATGGGGACCGGGCCCAGACAAGGCATGAACATCCAGGGTCACTGCGAACCCCACCCTGGCTTGTGACTGTGATGGCGGTGGGGGCAGGGAATTGAGTAAGGTCGTGGGGTCCATTGTGAGGGACACAGCTGGATGCCTATAACTCAGAGAGATGGAGGTCCCCGGATGGAGGTCCCCGGTGTCCGGACCTCGGCCTCCTTGACTTCCCCCCTGGTAGAGAGCAGGTGTCTCCCCATCGGAAAATGTCCATCACCGAGAAGGGGTGGGTGGTGAGGCGGGGAACTCAGCGTGACGTAGTGAGGGGACAGGCAGTGACCGGGCTCCGCACGGCAGACACACAGGCGTGGCGGGGGCAGACGGGGGGCTGCATGGCCGTGGGAAGGAGGAGAGGTTCAGGACCGGAGGCCCAGGCTCGGGAACAGGCAGGTGCTCCCAAGAGGCACAAGTCCTTACAAAGAGAACTGGTTAGCCCTAAGTCCCAGATCTGTGAGGTGGCCAAAAACGTGGCTGTAGTTCCCACCTTCAGAACTCAATAAAACGGGGTTTCCAGGGGGCAGAGAGAAGCCCCCCACCTCAGGACCCCCCCCACCCCTGCGAGGAGGAAGAGGCCACGCTCGGTGGTCTTCTCCAAGGAGGTGACCCACACGACGTCCTTCCCATCCCCTTCCTTCTCCTGCCCCGTCCCTTCTCCCCGCAGAGGGTAGGGACCTCAGCCGATCCCGAGCCGCCAAGAACGGGACTCCGCCTGGTCCGAGACTGCGGTGGGTGGTGGAGGCTGTGCCCCGCCGGCTGCCCTCCAGCCAGGCCCCGGTTTCCTCTCCCCACACAGGCCCCTCCCTTCCCTCCCCGCCCCCCTGCCCGGCCCCGCCCACCCCGCCCTGCTCCAAAGGCCGCCGTGCGCCTGTGGCTCCGCCAATGTGCCAAGTTGCAAGTCCCTTGTTGCCACTGCTGCCTCGGGGACACCCCCAGAATGGGGCACCCCCCCAGGCCTGGAGAGCCCCCGGAAGTAGCTTTCAGAGCCTCCCTTCTCCCTCTTCCGCTCAGAGGGGGAAAAAAAAAGAATCAAAAGTAACTGCCCAAGGAAGTTCTGGGTGGGGCCCTCTTTTGGAGCGTTTTTAAAAATACTTTATTAGGATTGGCCCACCCATCAATTTGGAAAGCTGAACTTGGCTCTGTTCCGGTCACTGGTTTGGAAGCCCCGAGCCAGAGCTGAGCGACAAGCAGGTTAGTGATGAGCCGATGACCTGATCTGTGAGGAGCAGCTGGGGGAGGGCAGAGGGCGAAGGGCCAGAGCATTATTCTTTTTTTTTCCACACTCTCTCACTCTCTTCTCTCCACGATTACTGACCGCCCCGGGGCCTGATCACAAACCCTGCTTGGCCAGGGAGGCGGACACCTCGTCAGCGAGGGTGGCGAGCTGCGGCGAGTCCACCATGTCGATGCTGCCGGCGGAGGACACGTTGCTGAGGTGCCGGGGGGACGTGTCCCCCGACACCACGGGTGACTTGTACACGATCTCCGCCCCGTGGTCGGTCTTGGCTTTGGCGTTCTCGCGGAAGGTCAGCTTGTGGGTTTCGATCTGCAAGAGAAGAGGGGGCAGGGTAAGGAGGAGAGTTGGGTCGGGTGATAGCCTGCCGGCCTTAGGAGGGAGGGAGCCATGGTGGCCACAATGGTTTCACGGCTTCCCAACAGCTAAGCTGCAGCATCCTAGTCACCTGCCAGCCAGCCCCCCAGGCCCCCTCTCCAGAAGCAGTGACCACTGTGGGCTTCTTGTGTACCCTTCTAGGAATAGCCCACACATGCAAACATGTGTATGTGTGAGTAGAGAAAAAAATACATATACATGTATATATATGCATACATATGGCAACAGTATCCACATGCTTTGCACTCCCTCGTTTAGGCTTAATACCTTGCATTGACCCTACATAGCTCCCTCACTGCTTGCTGAGGCTGTGTGCTTTCCCATCACAGCAGATATACCAAAATGTATCTACTCCCTTGTTGGTATTTAGGTTGTTCCAATCTTTTGCTCTCACAGACAATGCTGTGTATGAAAAATGTTGAATAACCTTGTACTCATCATTTCGCATATGTACCGTGTCTCCTAGAAGTGGGATTGCTAGTAGGTCAAAAGGCATGCACATTTCACGTTGATGTGCACATGCACTTTGCCAGACCGCAGATGGAAGTGTGGAAAGAGAGGCTGGAGGAGATACAGGGAGGGGCCCAGACCCCCAGCCATCCAGCTGTGAGCCAAACACATTCCTCCCCTTTGCCGATGACTGATGAGGACCCTGGAGGTGGCAGCTGCTGTGGGCAGCGCTGGCAGGTGTACCAGAAAGCATGAGGCAACGGAGCCCTGATCAGAGCAGCGCATCATTCTGAAATATACCAACAGCTCATACAACTCATTATCAAAAAAGCAAACAACTCAGTCAAAAATTAGGCCGATGATCTAAAAAAACATTTGTCTAAAGAAGACAAGGATGGCCAAAAAGCACATGAAGAGGTGCTCAACATTGCTAATTATTAGAGAAATACAAGTCAAAAACCACACGAGGTATCACCTCACTCTAGTTATAATGGCCATCAACAAAAAGTCTACAAATAAGAGCTGCCATGTGATCCAGCAGTCCTATGTTCACAGCAGCCAAAACGTGGGAGCCACCTCAGTGTCCATTGACAAATGAATAAAGAAGATGTGGGAATGGAATTCAGCCACACAAAAAATGAAATATTGCCATCTGCAGCAACATGGATACAACTAGAGATTATCATACTAAGTGAAGTAGGTCAGAAAGAGACACATACTATATATCATTTGTATGTGGAATCTAAAATATGGCACAAATGAACCCATCTACAAAACAAAAACAGACTCACAGACAGAAACAGACCCACAGACACAGAGATCAGACTTGTGGTGACCACGAGGGCGTGGGGGAGGGATGGACTGGGAGTTTGGGATTAGCAGATGCAAACTAGTATATATATATATATATATAGAATGGGTAAACAACAAGGTCCTTCTGTATGGCACAGGGAATTCTATTCCATATCCTGTGATAAACCAGAATGGAATGGAATACAATAAAAAAAGGATGTATGTATATAACTGAGTCATTCTGCATAGATTGGCACACCACCATAAATGAACGATATTGCAATTAAAAAAAAACTTTAAAAAAAGGTACAAATGAACTTATTTCCAAAAGAGAAAGAGACTCACAGACAGAAAACAAACTTATGGTTAGCAAAGAGGGAAGGGGAAGGGGGATGAATCAGGTTAGGATTAACATATACCCTACTACATATAACATAGATAAGCAACAAGAACCTATTGTCTACCACAGGGAACTAACTATACTCAATACTTTGCAATAACCTATAAAGGAAAAGAATCCAAAAAAGAATATATGTATGCATGTATAACTAAATCACTGTGCTCTACACATGAAACTAACACAACACTGTAAATCAACCAGACTTCAATTTAAAAATAAAGAAAAAAATAAGTAGAGCATCCTTGACCCGGAGGTCTTAGCTCCAAAGGATACCTGGAAAGCTCAGAAGCAGACAGTTGAGCTGCAGATGGCAAGCAGTACATAGTTATTCTCTCCTGATGAGCTCTGAAGTGATGGACACAGTAATCCTCAACCTTTTTGGGGTCTTGGGACCTCCTTGGGGGCTTTCCAGGTGGCACTAGTGATAAAGGGTCTGCCTGCCAATGCAGGAGACTTGAGAGACACAGGTTCGATCCCTCGATCAGAAAGATCCCCTGGAGGAGGGCATGGGAACCCACTCCAGTATTCTTGCCTAGAAAATCCCATAGACAGAGAAGCCTGATGGGCTACGGTCCAGAGAGTCATAAAGAGTCAGACACAACTGAAGTGACTTAGCACAAACACAAGACCTTCATGAGCATCTGGTGAGACCAGGAAAATGTGTACACCTGCCTGCCTGCTCTCACACACATCTGACAATTTCTCCCTACAAGTTCAGAAGTCCCCGGATCCCAAGAAGAGCCCCTGTTGTAGGGGCATTTGAATGTAGAGAAAAATCAGGCTCCCATCTAAGCTATATGCTTATTTTCGGTGACTGCTTTGAAAAAAGGACTCTTCCTTATTACTGTAACTGAAAGACCATGTTGACGTACATTTATGTTCTTAAGAAAAATGTGACAGCCTCCTGGGAATGTCCCCAAACTCCCCAAGCTGAAAGTACTCGGGTGGCGGGGTTCCTACACTCTGCTGCTTGTCAGCAGTGTTGCTCATCAGAGCAAAATGGGACCGCACACGAGGAAACTCTGGGACCAGGACAGTGTCTTCCGGGCAGTGGGCAGTGGGCAGGGCCCTCCCTTTCTGAGGCATCGCAGAGATGAGTGAAAACAGAAGTCCAGACCTGGATTTTGCTGCTAACTCCGGGACGGGGATGTTTCTGTCCGTTTTGCTGAAGGAGAACCCAAGGCTGAGAGGGCTTGCAGAGCTTCCGGGGGTCACGCCTCCAAGCAGAGTCAAGCCCAGAGCTTTCCCCCGGAAAGAGAAGCTTCCAGAGTCAGGGGTAGCAGCCTTCCTTCACCCGGAATCACCAACAGCCAGACCTACCCACTCATTCCATATATAATCAGTCAGACTCTCCAGGGTGGGACGGCAGTTTCATTAAGCTCCCCAGGGCAGGGAGGCCCTGTGTTAAACAGGGTGGGGGCAGCAATGGAAACAAGCTGGCCTTTTGCAAAAAAAACCTTCTCATTTCCCTGGGTCTAACGTCTGATGGAGACCCAGGCACGCTGTATGTACAACCGTGATGGTCAGGGAGACCTGTGGGGAGCCTGGACCCCACATGCCCCTCAGCCTTCATGGGGCTCCATCACTGGTCATCAGGTCAGGTCAGCCCCGAGGTCTCAGCACCAACCGCTGCTTTAAGCGCACTCAGTCCAGCAAGTGCCGCTCAGAAACCACACAGTCAGGCTTTCACCGCAAAGGTGGAGTGTGTCTGTCGGTCCAGATCAGAGGAGGAGGAGGTGGTGGGCGGGATGGGGGAGGGAGGTGACTGCCTGGGGACCCCGGCTCCCACCAAGCTTGGCCCAGCTGCCACTTCCGACAGTGGGGCCCTTTGCACCGCACCGCTGGGCCGGGTCTTGGTTTCTGTGCTGGGGCAGCCCTCCCGTCCCCGTCCTCCTCAGTCAGCTGCTGGGAGGCACTGAAGACGGGAACACGAACCACTTGCAGAATTTCAGGGCAGGCACGGGCAGGAAACCCCAGAGGGCATTTCGCTGAATTTATGAAGAGAAAAAGCGTCGCCACACAACAGAGTTCTGTGACGAGCCCAGAGGGAGGCACTGGGGTTCCCCAGCCCCCACTGCACCCAGACATCCAGACCCAGGGCTTCTAGGAACCGTGGGGAACACCCAGGTTCTCGGTCCAGTGGCCTCCTGATGGACACTTGCAGAAGCTTTGTTGAAACCTGGATCCAGCATCACTGTTTGGCTCTAACTGCCTGTGACCTATTTAGAAAATAAGGTTACGTTCCCATGACTGGCTCTTGGTGACTGGGGCTGGCTTTGGCGATGGCTACTTCCTCTTGGGGGTGCTGGCCAACCACAGGGCCAAGGGCAGCACCTCTCACCTTTAACTGCACTGAAGAGTCACCTGGGGGCTTTAAAAGCTCCACTCCAGGTACCCAGATGGCTTCTGAGACAAACCAGTCAGAATCTCCAAGGTGGGGCCTAGCATCAAGGCTGGTAAGGCTCCCAAGGATGGTGAAGGGCAGCCCAGGTGGAGCCCCGCAAGTAGCTGAGAATCCAGTTCCAGCCAGTGCATATGGGACCCTCAGCTCTCCTGCTCTGAGACACTGGACTCTGTTACAGCCTCTGCCCCGCCCCTTTACCTTTTTATTCCCTCCGCCAGGGACGTGTGTGATGTTATCCAGGGACCCAATCTTCGACTGGACTCTGTCCTTGAAGTCCAGCTTCTCAGATTTTACTTCCACTTGGCCACCTCCTGGAACACAACACACAAAAGGCACCGAGTCTTGAGTGAGGGCTAAGCCAGCGACTGCATGCAGACGCCAACCTCGAGGAGGAGCTACGACCAGCTTTTATTTAGAGTGTGGTTTGGAACAAGTAGGTCCTTCCAAAGGGCTTGAAAACAATTTGCTTCATCTTCATTTTTTTCTTTTTATCTTACTAATCAGGGTGTACATCAAATATCTACTCAGCAAACTCTTCCTCCTTAGTGCAAAGGTAAAGGACAGCTCAGTTCAAGAGAAATTATTCTAAATTGGTCAGCTTCCAAGGAGTTGAGCCTTTCTATGCCAACATCCTGCAAGACCTCGGAATTAAACTGAAGGACAAAATGCACCCTTCATAAGGAAGGACCCTGACATTTTCTCCCTCCTCAGACACTCGATGCCCTGTCCAAGTGTGGGAGACATGACCTGAGACATTACTTTCTTTGGAAGGATAAAGCCACTCAACAAAGTTGCCTCACAGTGTGATGGGATGGTGGCCCCAGGAGAGGCAGAAAGACTCAACTCCCCCAAAGTGTCCAAGGGAGACAGAAAATAATGACATTCTAGACTGCACTTCTGACCACCTCTCTTCCTGCAGTAATGATTCAAGCCCCAGAGAGGGCCTAAGGCAGAAGCCCTGCTCTGAACTCTCAGGCAGGAGTTAGAATCTAGATCTGGGCTCTCCAAGATGGTAGCCCATGGCTACTTAAATTTTATTTAAATTTTAAGTTTTTTGGCTGCACCACAAGGCTTGTGGGATCTTAGTTCCTGGATCAGGGAACGAACCTGGGACCGGCAGTGAAAGCGCCAAGACCTAACCTTTGGACCGCTAGGGAGTTCCCCAAATTTCATTAAATAAAATTGGTTCATTTCCTCAACTGCACCGGCCACATTTCAAATGCTCAACAGCCGCATATGGTGAGTGGCTACCACAGTGAACAGGACAGGTACAGAACGTTTCCACTGTTGCAGAAAGACCTACAGGCAGCACCAATTTCTGCATGGCATGAGATGGAGAGGGGAAGGGCACGCATGGGGAGTTCCACAGTATCATTTCGGCGGGGACATGGCCATGGCCCAGGACTCCCCTGTTGTAGCTGGAGCAGTGGCTGAAATGTCCCTCCTGTTGGCTGAGGACCAAACTGGGGACCAAATCCACGGAGCTAGTCTTCGGGGGCCAGATCAGGTCCTTCTCCAGCTTCAGAGGCCCTGTGCGCAGCCCGCTTGGAGAGCCGCGGGTCAGGGTTTAGCTCAGCATCTGCCCTCCCTTCCTACCTTGTCTTGGGCAGCCTGGTCCCTCTCAGGCGCTACACACAGAGCCACACCTCCCAGGCCCCAGCAAGCTCCACCCCCAACACTCTCCTTGATGGCCCATCCCAGCCATCCTTTTCAGCCACTTCCGGAGAAGGCACCGCCCCATCCGGTCCCGCCCCCTGGCCACCCCGCCCCGTCTTGCCTCCTACAAGGGCTACCTGGCTTATGATGGATGTTGCCTAATGAGCCACACTTGGAGGTCACCTTGCTCAGATCCACTGGTTTGTAGACTATTTGCACCTGGAGGGGAGAGAGAACAAGAGAGAGTAAAGCAGGATTATTTTGTTGGGATTGAAACAATAAAAAGCAGCAGCCCTGCTCGGACAGCGTTTCCGGTCTGCCACGAGGAACACACCCTAGTACTGATGGGAAAATGTGTTGGAATTCTGCCAACCCTGCCCTGGGAGTGAAATAAATGGAGTGCCTTCGATCCCATAGGACAAGGACCCTCAGAAATACAGGGCTACCGCCGTTTGGGGCAGGGCCCACACCACTGGTTTGGCAAACACACATGAAAAGGTCATTCTCTTTCCTGACATGGGATCGAAAGATCACATTCAGTGAGGACAGAAAAAGAAGGTGTCCGTGTGTGCGGCATCTGAAAAACCTTGGCAAAGAGAAAGAGCCATGCCTGCTGGGCCTCCGAGAGCAGAGGGCGGGGTGAAGTGGCTAGGAGCACCTTCTCCCAGGAGCAGCTTTACGAACCCCAGCACTCCTACGGCAGAACAACGATGGTCAGCGAGCGGGGCCCAGTGCACTTCGGCGACCCGGGAAGAGTGAAGCGCCAGGCGGCGCCTGGACACACAACGTCCTGGACGGTTTGGTTCTTTACCGAAAGGAGCAAAGCCACACGAGCAGGACGGTCAGGCGGCACAGCAGGAATCACCGGTTTAGTGTCTCAGGGCGGCTCAGCAGACACACGCGGGGAGGCCTAAGGGCCCCAGAGCTCAGAGCCGGCCTGAGGGTGCAGCATGTGGCCCAGCCACACAGCCACTCCCGGCCGCCTGGAGGAGACACCCCACAGGGACCCAGCGTCAGCAGAGGGGGTCTTCTTGAGGAAGTCTGCACAAAGCCATGACTGTGGGGGCCCCTGATGGTCACGGGGTGACACGTCCCTTGTGTGAGGTCACCTGAGGACACAGGAGGCCAATCACCACTGAGCCAGTGGGCTCCTGCTCCCTGCCCTGGAGTTACCTGGAGAGAGGAATGGCCTCCTGCCCGAGAATGGGTTTAACAAGCACATCAAGGAGGAGTTTTTATTTAGGTCTAAATCATCTGGAATAATCCCAAATTACGTTCATCAAAATCATGTTGCCGTTTGTCGATTACTGGCAGAGAGTTGATGGAGGCTGACAAGGGGATGGCCCGTGTGCGTAGGTGTGGGGAGGGAGGCGCCGGGAGCCCGCGCCTGTGGGGGTGGGTGGGTTAATGAGGGGTTCTGAGCCTGTGCTCCAGGTGGGGTGCTGGAGATGGGGGGACAGGGGGCTGTGGAAACTACCCCCCCTTTCCTCGCAGGAGCAAGCTGAAGCAAAGGCTGGTGTGTGCGAGGCTTCCCTCTTCTCTTTTCAGCCTGTTTGGGGCGGGGGTGTAACCAGTTGCGGAGGAGGAGGGTGGCACTGTGTAGAAGGAAGAGGAGGAAGGGGGTAAGGCATGATGGAGGGGGAGGGAAGGGGAAGGGAGAGAAATGGGGGAGGGCGGGGAGGACGGGAGCCAGGACCGGGAGGTGCCGAGGCGGTTGAGGCCGGGGAGGGAGGAAGCCAGGCTCCGGAGTGAAGCCGGGAGTCAAGCAGCAGGCAGGGAGAACCGCGGGAAGGAGCAGGGCCTGCCTGCTGGGAAGCTACATCCAAGCTGAGGAGGGGCCCACCACCCCCAAGCGCCTTATCACCCTCAGCCACCTTTCAGCAGGTCCTACTGCAGCGGTCACGAGCCAACATCCTGTGGCTCTCTGCCGGGCCGGGTCCCAGGCTAGCCCGCCGGCCCGCAGAGTGCAGGACGGACGGGAGGTGCTCCTGGGGAAGTCCCTCGAGGTCGTAAGCACTGCCCGCCCAGCAGCAGGCATGCACCCCCTCCCCCAAGCTTCTGCTGGAAGGAACGGTCTGCTGACTGCGGCCACTGGACCCCCGCCTCCAGCCCAGCAGCACAACCTCCCATCAGCCGACCAGACACGAGTTAAACCGGAAAGCACATGTCTTTCCTGCTCTGGCTGAAGCCCGCTGTCGGCAGGGAAGCCAGGAGTCAAAGCTAATGTCACCCAGAGCCCATGGTCAGGCCGGCAGTGGGTGAGGGTGGTCCCCACCCCTTCTCTTGGCAGAAGACAAGGTGGCAGTGGGACAGGAGAGCAGAGACGGGGGGCACTGGGGCGGGGGGGGGGACACTGAGCAGACACTGGTGAGGAAGCGTTAGTGAAGCGCCATGCAGCAGCCTCGGGGTGAGTGCCCGCCACTCCGGGGGCCACAAGGAGTCAGCGGCAGAGCCCGCCCCGGGTGCTCAGGCAGGAGGCAGCAGCACATTGCAAGAATAAACCCTCAGGTCTGGATGTGGATGATGTAGGGGTAGAGGCTGGGCACTTTCTGGACAGAGAGCACAACCCCCAGGGCTTCCACTGTCACATAAACTACTGCCTCCCCAGCGCTGCCAGCTGGGGACCAGATGCCTGCTCTTACAAGCCATCCTCCCCCCCAGGGGTGGACCTCAAAGGGGCTTGAATCTCCTGCTCCCCAGTATGTTTCAACATTTGCCCAAGGCCTACCAAGAGAGGCTGGGGGAGCAAAGGGGCTGTGGAGAAGGGGGGCCGAGCCTCAGGATGCCAAGTCTACACTCAGTTTGGTCACTTGGAAGATACCGGCAGAGCTGATCAAGTGGGCAGGCAAGAATGAGGATCAGCCCCAAATCTCAGGGATGCATCCAGTGGGGAAATGCAGGGAGTCCCTAGGGACACCTGGAGGCGGCCAAATTTCAAAGGGCTCCAAGTAGCATTTCTGTCCCCCTTAGCTGCAGGCCGCTCCCTGATGTACTTTTGTTGGGCTCTTTCGCATCTGGAGCTTCCGCCAGGGGTGGAACTGGTTTCAAACAAGAGCCAAGAGGCTTATCCCTCGTAGACGCAGAAGACAAACGGGAGCAAAGCCTGGCTGGCCTCTGCTTGTCCCGAGGCAGGACTGTAAAGACCTTGGTGTGGGCCAGCTGTTCCCAGTGGAGCCTCTTAAAGCGAACCTACCCAGGTGATGGAGGAGGTGGTGTCAGAGCCCAGTCTCGGGTGCCACCACGTTTAGCTCTAACTCAGAGGGGCTGCGGGGCTCCCCGTGAGCAGGCGCGACAATGGGGCTGGGAGGATCCCGCTTCCAGAACAGGTTGGAGGACCAGTCACTCGATCTGCCCATGCAACAGGGCACCCCTCCTGGACCTGTGGGTGCGGGGAGTCTGGGCTGCATTTACCCGGATAGACTGAGCCTGAGCATGGTTTATTCTATGCAATGTCTCGCAAGTACAAACACTCATGCCACTTCTCCAACCCGGAACCACAGCTGGAAAGTGTGACGGTACTCACACTGCCGCCTCCTGGCACGTGTTTGATATTATCCTTTGAGCCACACTTGGACTGGACGTTGCTAAGATCCAGCTTCTTATTAATTATCTGCACCTTTGACAGCCAGAAAAAAGGATGAGTGACACACCACACCCAGACGTGTCTGCCCCGCACAAACACACTCGCCACTTGGCTGCAGGCCCGGGGAGAGAAGGGCAGGCTGATTCACACCTCCCCGGGGAGCATTCCAGAACTGTGAGTGGTTGGAGATGGACCCCACCTTACAGTCCTGGGCTCACAAAACAGAACCATCAGAAGTGGCTCTTCCCTTTCCGGGAGGATTGCAGTAGGGAGGCCTCCCCCATCTCAGAGCACCTCGGACGTGGGGGTCCACCAGGTTGAGATGGAGCAAAATGTGCTCAGTTACATTATTAAATGAATAAATAAAAGGTCCCCGCTGTGGCCTCATTCATACACCTACCAGACCCATCTGAACACTCACCGAGACCTTCGCCTGGCTGTTCTCAAGTCTGTTAGGCACTGAAATCACCTGCAGGTATATTGTTAAAATCCCAGATCCTACTCCTGACCTTAGAATCTTGGGCTTCTGAATAGCTCCCCTGGTGTTTTGTTCTGGTTCAAGAATCCCTGACTTCATGGGGAGGACACGGGTAGATTTATGGAGAAGGTAAATCCAGACCCCTTCAGGGAAGGCCTGTGTCTCTTGGAAGGAAGGGTGAGTGCCCACCCTTCCATCCATTGGCTGGTCCTCGTCCATAAACCCCCAGGCACTCAGAGGGAACAGTGCTCCCAGGCAACTTTCCCTAAGTTTTCCTGAGCAGGGGTGGGGATGGTAGAGACCACACTGTATTTCTGCCAGGCTCCCCTTTTCCCAGGCACCACGGAAAAAGTGTGAGGCTATATTCGGGGCGGGGGTGCTGATTTTTATCCAATTTGCCTGTGTATGAAATACACAGAGGCGGCGAGCTGAAGCACTCCACGATTTGTCTGTGAGAGCGGTGATCCATCATCACCGGGCGTTCCTCATCAGGAGGCTCAGTATTTGCAAACAGGAGGCCTCAGTGTTTATCAATCACAGGTATGAACAACTGCCAGCTGAAGTTCCCAAAGAAGTACCAGCACACCCTCTAAAATTCTGGAAAAGTGGCAGTTGCTGCCGGGGGGCCCACTAACCCTGAGGCCGGGGGTGGTCAGAGCCTGGGCCTGGCTCATCTTGGGAGAAAGTTCCCAAGTCTGACCCCAGAGCCGGCCATCAGGGGTCCACAGGTCTTCAGCCAATGGAGGAAATAAGGACGTGATAGCAAAAGTTATCCATCCTACCATTTTGATATTAAAATGGTCTTTTCCTCCAATAAGATTAAAAAAAATGACTTTCCCTTTGTTAAATTGTTAATTATTAAATTACATTGGTAATAGATAATATTTATTTTTAGATATCATTAACCTGGCAAGCTAAATACAGTAATTTCTCTTAGGCTCCATCCCTGTTTTTTTCTTTTTGTTGTTTTTTCCTTACTTTTATTGATCTGGATTGAAAAATCTGGGAAATACATATCTAATCCACCTCTTTGTTTTATTTTCTGTTCCTTTAAAGTAAAAAGCTGTGTATTTTTTTTATTAAGTAACATAACTATGTTCTTGAAAAACAGAGGTTCAAGAAAAAGTTTTCTTGCTACTCTTAACACAACCACTACTGCATTTTCTTGTACTCTCGAACTCTCATATATAAAAATATCATTGTAGACAATAAATGTATGCATACTATTTTATATCTTGCTGTACCAAGTATTTGCCATGTTAAATTAAAGCATTAATTTAAAAAATGTCCTATCCATTTTGTGTTATCTATGCTATCAGATATTTATATTGATTTCATTTTAAATAATACAAACAGCCTCACCATGGACATCGTTCTACAAGGAGTTTTTCCCATTTTGTGGATTGTTTTCATAGCACAAAGTCCCAGAAATACAATTTCTGGGCCAAAGTTATAAATACTCTAAAAACCCTCCACACAATCCTCCAAATGGCTTTTTAAAGGGTCTGATTAATTTCTCCTGTGAGCACTATTGAGAAAGTTTCACTATATTGACACCAGCATTGTGCAATTAAAAGAAATTGTTTTTCTTATTTCCTTGATTAAAATAAATAGATTTGTATTGTTGGCTTATTCTACATTTTATTATTAAAATTGTTCCTCTGTCCTTTTTTTGTTAGTAGTTGTATTTATTTTTCTAGCACACAAATGCTGACATTTTAATATACTTCCTTTGTAACATTTCTTCCTCTGTAACTTCTCTGGTTTTTGTTTTTTTGGGTCATGTCACGGGGCACCTGGGATCTTAGTTCTCCAACCAGGGATCAAACCCAGGCCCCCTGCATTGGATGCATAGAGTCGAAACCACTGAACCACCAGGAAGTCCAACTTCTCTGGTTTTAAGTGTAAAAACCATCCCTCATTTAGAGGCTGGATAAATACCTAACTCCATGTCACCCTTTTTGCCTGCCACCTTACTACTGATGAAGAGGCCATTTAAAACCCAGAGAAGTTCAGTGACGTTCTCAAATCAGCAATGGAATCCACATAGGAATCTAGATGTGGGTGTTTCTGCAGCCACGGATTCCTATGTAACAACACAGTTCACCTGAGTTGTTCTCAAGCCTGTTGTCTCATAAACTAAATAGAAACAAGACTCTCTCTAGGTGAATGGCGATGTCTCTCCTCCCAGCAAGGAGACGGTAGGCGGCACCCCAGCCCCGGCCTGAGCTGAGATGAGGAGGAACAGGTTTTCTCGCCTGCTTCCTAGGGAGTTGCTGTCACCGTCTGCATAACGTCTTTGAATCGTTCTGTCCCACCCTCAAATTTCAAGGAGTCCCACATGCACTCCTGCTTTGGGTATCATTTTTTTACTCATAACTTTCCACCGAATAAGTTCCAGAAGCAGACTTGCCTACTTTCACAAGAGAAGTGGAGCAGTTTAGAATTAGAAAGCACATACACACACACCCACACACAAAATAACAAAACAAGAAAATTGCAAAGACAGTTAAGAGAAGGGGAGGTCATCAGGACTGACAATTATAAGACTGATCATTATTACATTTAGCTCTGTGGAGAAGGAAATGGCAACTCACTCCACTATTCTTGCCTAGGAAATCCGTGGACAGAAGAGCCTGGCAGGCTACAATACATGGGGTCACAAAAGAGCTGGACACAACTTAGCGACTTAACAACATTTAGCTCTGAGCTTCCGGGAAGTCAAAGCAAAAAGGGAAACGTGATGGGTTACATAACTCTCTAATCTGACAAAGAACACTGACCAGTTTTTCAAGGAGGATAGCCTTGTTTTCTGTACTAATCCTTACAAGAAAGTCATCAAATGACTCAAGAGACATGAAGCAATAATACAATGTGCAACAAACACAGAAATGTTTTCTCCAGGCTGCTGCTTGTTCCCACAAAAAAGGCAACAAACTTTTGTGGGATTTGGCAAGAGATATAAGGATATTTAGCAAGCAGACCTGAATTACTGTGAGTCCTCAAATTAAGTCAACACCCTTTACAGAATGGTAGATTTACAGAAAGGAAAAATAAAAAGGGGAATGGTTGTCATTATGAAATTGGAATCCTGAAACTTAATTTCTCAACTAGAGTAAATGTGTGATATTCAGCCTCAGCTCTGGGTGGACACTGCAAATAGCCAAAAGGAAAAGCAATGTTTTGGAAGCTCCAGATTTTGATCCAGGAGACTTACTAGTCAAGGGACAAATTCTGTGGTCAGGGTTTGACCCTGGAGGAGAGGTTGGGGTGGCATGATGCTGCAAGCAGGTCCATTTTGGTTTACTCCATTTCCTGGAGAACCCGAAATGGTTCCAAACCCACATCAGATCTTGTTCTGGTTCTGTTTGGGCTCAGATTTCTCGAGGTGCTCCAGATGGCCCAGCCCTCCCCTCCACCCTCAGGAGCTTCCAGGCTGGCCAGGTGTCCTTGGGCCACCCCTGGAGAGGCCTGTCTCCTGCACTGTCTCATGCTGGGCCCGGCTTGGCCTCACTAGGGTCAACAGGCCCAGTGTGGAGGACTGGGGGCTGGGATGTTCTGGAGGGAATCTAACCTGGGGTGAGCACTGGACACCCACAGCAAGCCTTCCCTTCAAGTCCAAAGTGGTCAGCTTGAGAACTGACACTGGAGATCAAATATTAGGGGAGTTAATTCCATAGACAGAGGAGCCTGGCGGGCTACAGTCCAGAGGGTCGCAGAGTCGGACACGACTGAGCACCACAGAGCACCCCTTTCCGACAGTTTATACTGTTCCTTTAAACAGTGACTGATCCAAGAATCTTTAAAATGATGGAATTTACACAAGATTCTTTTTCATAAACACAGATGCTGTGTACGGTGAGACATGTCCAGAGGGTCTCAGAGTTACAAGGCTGCCCCCCAGGAGGGGCCCCGCCTGGCTCTGCACAGCCCGACACCTCAGGTCAAGTTCAGTTGAGTCCCCGGCCCTGATCCAGGACTAGCAAACTATTCTAGGTACAGACTCACTTTATCTACTCCGCATAGATGTTCTACACTTAACACTTTTAAAAATGAGATTTGAAACGTTAACACGGCAGGGCTCCAGAGCCAGACACTTATAGCGTGCTATTGCCATCTTGTGGCCACCTGGAATATCGCAGCCCAAGCCTTTCCAAGCCCTGCAGCTCCGGTGGGTTTCGGTCCTGCCTGGAGGGCCTTCGCATCCCAGCTCCTGGCTCGAACTTTCTCAGAGGAAGTGGCTTTAGCTCCATCTGCTCAAAGCCAACCAGACCATGTCCCACGCTCTAGTCATGACTCTGCAAGTCTCTTTTCACCTTGGAAACCACAAGGATCCCCCCAGTTCTTACTTGGCCGCCTCAGCCCCAGTGAACTCCTTCTCTCTCACTCTGGAATGTACCTGGGACCTCTGCTCTCCACTGACCCCACGGAGAGGCTGCTGAGGTTGGTGCTGCCTTAACCTCGGCTGGGCCCACACTCACCCTCTTATTCAACACCCTCCACGACTGACTGTGGAGCCGGAGGCTCTGCGGGGGGGGAGGGGGGGGGTGCCCGC